CTCTAAGATAAGGAGTAACGACGTCTCGCTCGAGCCGGCTGTCTGGGTCAATGTTGTGCCTTTAAGGGGATTTCGCAGTGAGCAAGATGAAGCATATGTTGGCCTGGTCAGCTGCTGGCCCCGGGAACCCAGCTTTACTTTGGTGAATTATTTACAATGATGTATAGTCCCGCTGCTGGGAAGCCATTCTGTTTTTTGGCTAATGCTTCATATCTGTTTTCCAAGACGTATCCGTCACCGGGAGAAACTGAGAAAAAGAAACAGTGGACTTGATGTATGCGTTTGGCTTCTTTTAGTGCAGAACACTTCAACACCTGAGAGGAAGGAGCGCGGGAAGGATTTTATACACACTTATGAGTATTAGAGGAACAATGCATTAAGTCAAGAACACAGTCAGGCGGGGTGGCAAAAAAAAAAAAGACAAAGAAAAGATGAATATGAGCTCATTTTCATGCAAAGGGCTAATCCATGTGCAACTGAGGAGCTGTGGGTATCGGAGTGTTAACTACATTACCAGATTGAATTTTATGAGATATTCACACCTAAAATACTCACACAGAAGAAATGGAATAAAGATATATGCAATGCACAAATCCAAACCCAAGATGCATGTATTTATATTACTTTCTCTAAAACGTTTTTTTTTCTCATAATGTAATACACCGTAATGCAAATAGAAAAAAAAAAAAAAAATCACCAATCTGAAATAGCCCTTAACTTAACTCTGACATTTATTCAGTGCTTGTGTGGACAAAATATTGAAAGAAATTTAACCTTGTAAATCCGATGCTAGCGGCGCTGGCTCGTCTCTTCAGTGGACGCAGGTTAAAAAGATGATGGACACAGAAGAACATCTCACCTGTTGTTTATTTCCCACTTCCTGTCTGTGTTTCCTGCTCCTGTAATTACCCGTTCCTTCCCTTAATGTGTCTCACCCGCGTCTGGTTATCTCCCCCGTTCCTCTGCGTATATTCGGTGTCCTTGCTGCCTCTTGGGCTAGTTTGTCTTCGTTTCTTTGGACAAGCGTTCCAGCGTTTATCCTTGTGTTCTTCTTGTTCGCTTCAGCTCTACTTTTGCAGCAGTTTTTCCTTGTTTGATTTTTTTTTCTGTGTATTGCCATTGTATATTTCAGATTTAATAGTGCTGGTGTCTTTCTCTTTCGATGACCTGTGCTATAGTTCCTCGTGCTATGTTGGACCATCACACTCTTAGGTCAGTGACTCACCTGTGTTTATGAAAAAAAAAAAGAAGAAAAATCCCGCGTATGTTTTTTCTTTTCTTTGACCAGCTGCAGTTGCTCTTTTCATCAAGGGTCAAGGTAGATAATAATAATCCTCACCTGTGATCTGTGAAGGTTTTTACACTAGCTCTGTTCTGCAGCGGCTCTCATCTCCCGTCCACAAAAGCACAACGGTGGAATCGAACACCTGTCTCTCAGGTGGAAGATTATTCAAAAAAATATATCAACTGCAACAGGGAGAAATCAGAGTTTAGGTGAATCTACCAAAGATGTGAAAGTAAATTTTGCTCGCTGTTTATCTCCATATACGGACTTCCAATGGACAGTCGACATCCCTGCTCTAACCCTTGGCATGCTGGGATTAGCTCCAGCTCCTCCTGAGATTCCTATAAGAATTCAATGTGCAAGAATGAATGGAAATATATTACCATTATCAGGACTGACTTAAAAGGTATAAAGGTTTGTCGTTCTTACATTAAGAGTCAGGAGTCTGTGTTGCATTGCATTGGTAATAATAATTTGGGCACATTCAAAGGAACGGTTAGGATTTGTTTTCAGCTTCTGTGTCAAGTTGAAGGCTGTTGTCTCTACCTTTTGTTTGTTTCAGGCAACAAAGTTAACAGCACCGGCCGTACTTCTGAAGTGAACGATTTTATCCCTCAAAATAAACAGCCTTTTGTGCCGCTGTTATTTGTTGACTAAAACAAAAACCACAGACCCAGACTATTTCCCTTTGTGATGCACTTCCTGTTTGGACGGCACCTCGTTGCATGTGAAGGTGTATTACATTTACTTTGTTCAGAGGAATAATGCGAAACCTTTTAGTCCGCATGCTGTTTATGACTGTGGTACTTCTGAGCCGTCTATGCTTTTAGTCAGCATCAGCACAGTGTTAGGGACTTCTGCTTTTTTTTTTTTTTTTTGTTTTTTTTTTCTAAGTGTCGATGCATGCAGCCCACGTTGGCTTCAGCACCACCTATATGCTATAGGCACATTTATATCTTGGTGCCGCGCACCTGGAGTGACAGCGATTAAAACAGTGTGGCACCACTGATGCTGCCTTTAAAAGCACCCCAGGGTATGATGGCACCAATGCTTATAAGCCAGTCAAGTTAATTACATTTGGGTGCCAGGAAACTGGACTCGGAAAACACCATTAAAATAACGTTTAAAGAACATCTGCTAGATGACAGGAAGTGAGGCGACAGCTGTAGGTGAAGATCATGTGCGGCAAACTTGAATGAACCCTACGTGAGACGCGTTAGCCGCGACCGACGTTCACTGGGACTTTTTTGCTCTTTTCGATTTTCTTTAGCGGGCACCACGCTAATATTTATCGACATTATTTCCCTGGTCATCGTGCGTTTCTTCTTCCCACTACCATCTTTACTACTCACTTTCTTAGGACTCATTACTACTTTGAAGAATAATGCACGAAATAGAGAGAAACTCACACAGATAACGCAAATACAATAGTGGGAGATGCGTACGGAAGTCGACGAACATGTGAAGTAAACAAGTGCTCCGAGTGCTCGGCCAGCTAGCGTCGACTTCTGTAAGCATGCTCGTATGTCGAGTCTTTACTCGTATCTCAAAGCAAATATTTGCTCGACGCCTTGCTTGTATCTCGAGGTTCCACTGTGTACATACAGTTTTTATATTTTTTTCTATATAAAAAAATCTGAACCTGAACCTCACGAAAACAAAGAGAAATATTCTCTAACCCCGGTGGACCTGAATGGATCTGCCAGAGAAGCTATTCAAGCACAACACTCCACCGTGTTGTTCTACATTTTGTTCTTGCTTACTTGCATATATTCCTACCAGCGTCTGCAGGCCCCTTTTCCTCTCTTTTCTATTAAGGCAACCTGTTCAGTTCAATAGAATCACACGCTGTAGTTATTTACAGTGTGAACGGGAAAATTTAGGTCACGGAGAAGTGGAGTGCCAGGCTTTTCTGGAGGCGTACGGAGACACAACAGGTTTATCTTCCAGCCCTTTTCCAAGTCAGTGGGATTCCAGGTCATTGGCATTCAAGGTCTGACGAGCCACAGAGGTGTGCACTGGGCTTCTGAGGCAGACTAAAGATTTTGATTTAACTTAAACAGGCAGCTATTGATTGCTGTTTTTTTTTTTTTTTTCCTTTTTCCTTCTCTCTTTTTTTTTATAAAGTCTTCATGCGTGTGATTAAAACTGCTCAATTGCACCCAGGTTTTCGGGCTTCTAAGTGAGTCTTTGTGGGGCTCCACACAGAAAGAATTGTGGGACACTTGACTTCCAATTTAAAAAGTTGAATAAATTAATGAAAAAAGCAATAAACATTAGCAGATGTTTTTTTTACCGAAAATATTGATTTAAAGAACAGATTCCCACTCACTGACTCATGTGGAGGACAAAACTTCGCGACCCAAGTCAATAGACATTATTCGTAAACTCCTGGGAAACATGATGCGAGACGACCCCAAAAAAAATCTCTTGGGACCCACCCGAGGGTCGCGACCCAGTCTTTGGGAAACCATGGACTAGACTGTACAACTTGAAATGTCTTATTAGCCGTTGACTGCCAGTGGGTGCAAGAGTACCTACTAATGGACCAAGGACCTCCAATAAGATCCTCGTGTGTGTTTAAAGTGCATGAGCGAAGAGGTGGAGCCGCGTTATGAGAGAAGATAATGCTAGGAGATTGAGCAATCCGGCGAGTATGACACCGCCTCGGGCCGTGCTCCTGATTACCAGGCGCTCGCTCGAATCTGAAACCTCAGCAGCGCTCTTCACCATGGAAACCCCTCATCACTGGCCTCCCACTGTGGCTCATTACAGAGCCGACGCCTTGAGCGCTGGTCCGGGATCAGTTCACCTGAGCCTCACTACTTTAAAAAACCTTATTAAATCTGTTTCAGGGTCGGAGTTAAAGCAGGATGGCGGCTGGATGTGAGTCTCGTCCGTGCGTCAGGGCGCGATTCGGCTGCAAGCTGTATGATCAAATAGGCCTCCTGATGCGATGTTATTGGCTCACACACATAAATGGATCACGTTAGACCATGTTGCCACACACACGAACAATTGTTAACAGTTTGTTCAAAAATGTCAGTGTCAGTATGTGAGAAGAGTTCATAAAGGCTGCTTGGTGAGGTACAGGTGTCTGATGTAAAATGTCCCAACAACCAAGCCAACACAGATCCAGACATAAAACGCTGCGCCCTTTCCGGACCTTCGACTGCCTAAATTTATGCTGCCGTTTTTGTTAGTCTAAGGGACTTAATAAATCATCCTGTCACTAACGTGACTCCTCATTCTAACCCGCACTCCTCATACCTGTCACGACTACTTAGCAACGTGTTCCCATTTCGCCTAATGCTCTGAAATCAAATCTGCCCAACTACCCGCCTGCCAACCAGGCGACAAGCCAGGCGGTGCATTTACATGTACATTAAACCTTTCTTTTTACTGTTAAAAATCCCAAATAAAGTCACTTTCTGTTTGGACTGGCCATATGAGCACGGTCAATAAACCGGAGTGTAGGCGTTTCAGTGCCAAACTATTCATATCCCCGAGTCTATTTAAGTCTAACATGATTTTGTCTGCGCCCGGTGATATTTTTCAGCACTCGAGTGTTTGTTGACCGAGAGGTAGCAAGTATAAAAGGGAAAAAAGTTGTAAAGTGTAAAACTTCTTCCTATGTGTTAAAATAGCAGGGTTTGTATGTGATGTGTTTCAATATTGAGTATCCTGAATCAGTAACAGTCCACTGCTCCTCCAGGGTCTGTCCAAAGGATGGCTGTCCACTGGGGTGAATCAGACGGCGTTCTAAGACACAGGAATTGGCAGCTCTGCTGTTTCCACCGCTGCAATGTGGCAGGATCGCCTGAAGGCATCATGGGAGGAAGGGACAAAGATGAAGAGAGCATCTGTTTCCCAAACAACAGGTATTGTCATCTCTGTGGTCAATCGGGACAGCAGCCGGCGCCTTAAAAAACATGTCCAAAAATTCAACACCAATCACTCAAGGCAGTGGTTCTGGCCAGCAGCTACAACACAGGCGCCTCGTGTCCACTGAGCTGCAGCCTCAGCAAAAATAAAAAGGTCATTACTAACTGTGACAGCAACGCCAGGGGTATTTAAGAATGTGCTTTAAATGCAGTCTCTTTAAGACAACCTCTATAGTATTACCGAGGAAGTCTGACATTTTCTAAAGAACAAATAAACCTTTGTTAAGTACACCATCAATATGAACGCTAATCAAACCTAATAATTAATTCAACTGAATGTTACTAATAACCTAAAGATGTCATCTATCTATCTATCCATTCATACAGTTCTGAAGTCAAAACATTGATTATAAAAGTTGACATTTCTTGATGTATTTTGTAGTATTATCTTTGAAGGGGGACCCCACCCAGAAGCTAATACTAGCGACCTTCCCCGAGAAAAGTTTGGGAAACCTTGCTCTAGACTGCAGGGCCGAGAACAGCCACCAGGGGGCAACCCATAACCTACATAGTCTGTTAATTGATCTAATAACCCTCTGGTTGTAACTGCAGTACTTACTGATCCACAGCCAGCCCCAGGGTTTTGGAAAATTAATGGTTTAGTTAAAAGCAAATCTGCTTCCAGTGTAATCGAAGGAACAATGTCAATGAGATTTGATTAGGGGTAAAAAAAAAAAAAAAATCAAAAAACAAAAAAAAGTTTCTGATGTCAAAGTGAGCGCAAGGCAAGGACTAAAAATCCATTACTGTCCCATTATGATTGTTAATGTTCACAACTGTTATGAATCTGGAATTCAATGAGGTGCCGGAATGCATTCCAATCAGTTCCGATCGTGCCCTGCGGAGCAGCGTTTTCACACTGCTGAATGTTCTGCTGAGGTCGCCCTGTCTGTCTCAGGGAGCCTGTGGTTCCTGCCTCAGTAAACCGGTGCGCCCTCACAAGCATATTCCCATTTTCTGCTTCACTGAACTGGTGGTCCCCAATAATCCTAACACCATCATTTAGGTAGGCGGGCTGTGAAGTGTTTTCTTCTTTAAAAAAAAAAAAACTCCTCAATTTTCTACATCCAGCATAGACTCAGATTCCCTGAGTCTAGCAGAGCAGAATGAATGTGTAAAGTCGGCCTTGTTTCTATGCACCTTGAAAAAGTGCAGAATGGAATCGGTTTAAGAAACATAAAAAAAAAAAAAAATCTCCAAATTCACAAGGCTGCTTTTGGAGGCTTTACCGTTAGATTACCTTTTATCATCTTTTTTTTTTTTGTGATTTATATTGATTTCGCTTCAGGTATCAGAAGGAAGGAGCCTGGTATTGGTGAGACTGTTCCCGTCACTCAGAGAAGCCTTCAAATGCTGGAGCCTGGCAAAGTGGTTTTCCATCATCGCTCCTATGTTCTGTGATGCGGACAGCAGGTAGGCGCAGTGTGACTGCTCTGCTTTTATTCTGACAGACAAAGAGAAAAGAGAAAGAGACTGGTTAAAATGAATTTAAAAAAAAAAAGAATTGATAATCGTACGCATTTTTAGCTTAGCATTTTTGCAGCCAGAAATCAATGATTTCACAGAGAGGAATTCAGCATTGCTTTGTTAATCAAGGTCAGGCCCAAACACAGGAAGTTGAGTTTAACCATGATGGACGTAAATCCTCAGACCTGGTAACTACCCAGTACTCTCACGCCTGACAGGCTTTTCATCCCTCACATGTATTCGCCAGGCTCTTTTCCACTAGCCTTGATAAGTCCAGACACACAACACATGGCTGGGAATTTCAACTGTTTACACGCCGTTGCCCTCACGCATTGTTCATTTCTCTTACTTGCTAAGGTTAGCAATGACAAAAATGCTTAGCTTTCGGTCAGGTGGTAGGTCATGTAATGGTTTCTGATGTTGCGTCAAGATTCCTCACAGGCAGGTACAGGTGCATGAACACTTGAAGTGAATTGTGAGACTTTGTAAAACAAAGCACCGTCATTCATTTGTCATTTTTCTGATTGGCTGGTGTGCTGGGGCCAATAGATTGGTTGGTAGGTAGGTAGATGGTAGTTAGATAGGTAGATGGATGGATGGACCGGTTGGTAGTTAGTTAGATAGGTAGAAAGATAGATGGATGGAAGGTAGGTAGATGGTAGTTAGTTAAATAGAAAGATGGATGGATAGATGGATAGATGGATGGATGGATGGATGGATGGATGGATAGATGGATGGATAGATACAGTAGATAGAGGCTTGTATTTTCTCCTCATCTTCAATGACTCTTTCAGAGAGGCCATTATTAAATCCTCAGTTATGCTGTGGTGCCACTGTACACATAAACTGTGAAATATTGCAGACTGATCCCTGTCTTTTAGAGAACATTAAGTCCTGCTGATTGTACAATACATTCAGCCGTGCAGAACCCAGTCAGGCCTCTAACTCTGGCTTTTGATCTAGGAGGAAACCCACCATTACTCAAACAGTACCTCAAGTGAGAAATGTACTCTGTGAACGGTTTTTAACCCACCTTGAATGCCCTTGTGAGACACTCTTCAGCTGGAGGCCACTAGTGGAAGGATGAGGAAGTGAGATAAGGAGGGAAGAAGTCAGAGTCCTTGCAAGGATAGTATTTCAACCTTTAAAAGTGCAAAGGCCTTAGAAATGAAACTAAACAGCGACAGGACTGTTGAGCATCGACCGTCTGACCTGATGCTTTAGAAATCCTTATTAAATAAACACTTAATGTTTTTTGCTCTTGTCATCATTAAAGCCTCACTAACAGGCTCTCTCATCAAAAAAAAAAAAAAATCCAAGATGTTTGATGTATGAAAAGGAACGGAGGATTAAAATTAATTTTGCACCTTTTAATCATTGCCCCTGATGTGGCAGCACATCTCTTTTAAGTTGCGAGATCCGAGGATTTTTTTTCTTTTCTTTTTTTTTTCCTTCATCCGCCTTTGACTGTCACTGTTGCCAGCTTCAGGCAAGGAAGGCTTCACAATTAATTTCCTGAAATCTGTAATAAAAGGCTGAAAATCAACTGTCCACATTGGCAGACTTAGCATTTTAATTCATTAGGCGAAGTGCACATCATATTACACACTAAAAAGGCTTGTGTTACAAGGTGAGGTCACGGTGTTAATAGAGATATTACACTTCAGGCTTTTTTTTTCACACCTGCGTCTAGATACTTCCATAGTTGATGAAAGTTAAGATACAAATAAGTTGCATTTACGGTATAATATGCATCGTTAGAACACAACACATTTTTTGAACTCATTGGGTAGAACATGGGGAACAGTACATCCAATAATAGCAACATCCATCCACTTAGTGTCCCCTCTGAGCCAGACCTAGGCAAAATATGGCCCGTGGTCCAGATACGGCCCACTGGGCTTTCTAATATGAAATGAGTAATAAAGTTGTTTCTATGTTGGACTCTCGTAGTTTGAGGACTGTAACAGAGCGTAGCTGAATCTTGACACCGTCAAAGAGTAAACAACTGAGGACAATTTTGGAAAGACAATTTGGAGTGTTTACTGCCCTCAAAAACAAGTGCGTTTTCAGGAGACCCTCCTTCAGAAAGTCGAGTTTCCCCCGAAGGCTTGAACGAGCCATTTGTTCTTGACACAATCAATGCGACTCCTTACCTCAATCACTATCATTTCGGTGTGAAAGACTGTGATAGAGGAAGCACAACAGCGGCGCAGAGAAAATGTGTGAGGAATGAATTAAAAGGATGACAGATTAAATAAATAAATACATTTAAAAATGTCATATATATATTTTATATATATGTATATACATATATACATATATATATATACATTTTTTTTATTTTTTTTTTATCCTGGTCACTGTAATAATGACAGGAAAAAAAAGAAAAATATGATTTTTTTTTTTTAAATTTAACTCGTTTTACTATTTGGCCACAGGAAGTTGTATGTTCTCATTTCCTTCTCACATTAAAAAGTGTTTTAAAGTGAATGGTGGAAAAATGTTAGAAAATAGACCCAGTGACAGTGGCAGCAATGCAAATAAAGCTTTAAAATGGGATAAACGTTTAAATTTAATGAGGCCTTTGGTCTCGTATTTAATTGTTCTACCTGTCAGACATTGACGAATAAAGAAGAATTATTTGCCAAAACAAACAAAAACAATAACTGAAGTCGACAAAATAATTTAGACTTTTAGCACTCACTTCACCAAATCCTAAAAAAACAACCCTTCCGCTCGTGCCTGCGAAGAATGTAAAGAACGCTTAATATATACAATAAACTTTAAAAACATGTCAGTTGATTCGGAGACGGCGAAGTTTCTCGCTAAGAGCGAACTGCCAAGTGTGATAGCACATGTAAATTGCAGGATTTAGGCTTAAACACACGCAGAGTGTGTCTGAGTGAATGATGTTGTGCGCTCAGGAGGAGATGCCCATGAGCCAAAGTTCCTGGTTGACAGTGGATCAAAGAGAGCAGCTTGTCTGTATCTGAAAGCGGCAGCACACACGTACACACATCACCTTCACAGGCAGCTTATTTCAAAGCAAATTGACAGAGTGAGAAATAAAGACAGATAAAAAGGGCTACGTCACGTTTTTTCTTTTTTGTTTTTTTTCTCTCTCTCTCTCGCTCTCTCTCCCAGTGAGACGCAACTTACTTCTGAAAACCCTTAGAAATAATCAAGTACGTTCCTCACTTGTGTTTGCCCAATTTAAGCTCGCTTCAAAGACCGCTTCACTTAGAAGATGATGAACTTGCGTAGCGTTTGAATAACAACTTTGGATTTAAGTGGCTCAGCAGCTTCTTAAAGAGCAACTTTGTTTATATCATTGCCAGTTTTAGCTTTGCTGATTTTTTTATTATTTTCCTCCCATGTTTTTTGCTCCCCTCAGCCTTTTGGTGTGCTCATTCCATCAGACAAACTCAAAACTGTCAGAAGAAATTTACACTGTCAGGCTGTGACAGCTTTGCACCCTCTGCCGCATGTACAACAATGCATTCCAGACCGAATCTGGGATCTAGCTCTGTGTATCACACAGATTCGGTGGAGACTCTTAATTATCTTTTGGTGGAGTTGAAAACTGTTGACAGCTAACTACTTTCACACCCACCCACACAATAAACACTATAAGAGTAGTAATCAATTTCAACTCTAAAGCTCGTCATGAACACAAAATATGTTTATTTTTTTAGACTGGTGACCCTCAAAAAGCAGCCCGTGGGCCACCTCTGGCTCGCGACCCGCATATTTGTGCCCCACAAGTTCACTCACTGTGCTTTGGTTTGTTCTGTACTATGTCATCACTATGCCAACTATATGCTGGCTTGTAAAGGGAACAACAGAAAGGGAACTTTGCTTTGAGTATGATATGATGATTTCTCAAAGACTGGGTCGCGACCCTCAGGTGGGTCGCAAGAGATTTTTTTGGGGGAGTCGTCTCTCGTCATGTTTCCCAGGAGTTTACGAATAATGTCTATTGACTGATAATTTCAGCAATCTTTATATGGAACAGGCAGTAAAACCCAATCGATTTTCACTTTGTCATATATAGGTTTGCTACTGATGAAACCCTGTATTTATTTTCATGCTATGGCTAGTGTAGCTAAGGCTAGTTACCTAATAGTTGTTACTATGCAAAAAAGTGGAGCAAACTTAGATTTACATTCATACAGTATATATATGTATATATATATATATATATATATATATATATATATATATATATATATATATATATATATATATATATATATATATATATTGTATATATAAAAATATATATATATATATATACAGTATATATACAGTATATATATATATATATATATAGTTTCCACTGAATTTAATGGCTCATTGCCATTGACTTTTGTTTATGGGAAAAGTCACAAAAAGTAAAAAAAAAAAAAAAAAAAAAGTTTTCTCTAGTTCAACGATTTGTAACGGTTGTAGTTTTGTTTCGGCAAAGAAACGTTTTCATCCCACAGTTTTGTTCACTCTCCCTTTCAGAAATCTTCACAACCTACATACAGAACACAACAACAAAAACCAGCGCGCTCTCTTCCCTCCTCCGTCCCTCTGAAACTACTGTATCTCCTCTCTGCACCGGTGAACACACAGACTCTAAAATTGGACGCTCAGAATCCACCGTGTGTATGACTGTGAGTTTGAATGGCTGTTTGTCTCCATTTATCACTTTATCATACTGTACTTTCTGTCACACACTGGAGAAAACTGTATCTGTGATCGAGACGCACACATGCAGACGGAGCACGGTTCAGGTAGAGCACCGTGAAGAGAAGGAAATTCAGGGAGAAAAGTTCAGTTTCTATTATGCATGCCGCCCCCGTACGACATCAATAACATTCCAGTGATTAAGCCTGCTCCCAGATCTGCAGATCACAGCTCACTAACAAGTTTTGTTAGAGCTGCAATGAAATGGTGGTTTAATGTAGATCGCAGATCTAGAAAATTCTTTAAAAAAACAATAATTCATATGTGATATGACTTTTGCACTGAAATAAAAATAGTTTGAGGTGGGTGTTTTCCTATCGCGCAGGATCAAATATACAGACTGTAGGCTGCCAAAGGGAAAGGGTGAAGATGGAGAATTATATAAAATCTAACTCTAGGTTGTGGATTCGTTTTTATTTTTAAAAAAACTAATAATAATCACACTCACAGATGGCCGCCCAAGGTAAATTTGAAAAGACAGAGCATCTGCATAAAGGAGGACAGAACAGTGAACACGGTGAACTCACAGATGGTTACATGTGCATGGATGTTGGAAAAGCCTGTCAGACGTCTCACTGCATTAGAGCCACTAATATATAAATATTAGCCTGGCAGCTAACACATTATGTAATTCACTGTGATTTTTTTTATCAAATACATTTCTTCTTCTCCTCATTCTTATTCTTTAAATGTCTGTATGGTAATTTTGGGTAAGAATGGATTGGTGTTGTAGATCATGTATTAAAAATGCCTTATATATATATGCCTTATTATATTTTTTATATATATATATATA